CTTAGATTTCTCTGAAGTGGACCCAATATAAGCATCATCTATAATTTTTCATATATCAAAGTGTCTAGATTGAACAAAAAGTTTAAATCTAACACATCATTGGGTATAGGAAAAATTATCTAATCTAGGAGCAATATTGATGGCATAACCTAAACTAGATGTACCGTGCATATCCATAATGTATATATGCAAGCAATAAAAATGCAATCAAACTAGATTAGCACAAAACAATAACTTGGATCTTTAACTCAAGGCGATTAGACCTTAAAAAAAAGCACCAAGCTCATTTGACCCTAGAGGGGGGGGGGAGGTGATTAGGGTCTTATGCTAATCTAATCCGATTTTATACCAATTAAAATTAATTAACAAGTTATCCTAGCAAGTATAAAATACAACAAGATATGTGAGCTAGGATAAGTGATATACACAAGGGTAAACAAAATAAACAAGATAGTGGATGATATAAATAATGAGCAATGGATAATAACGATAGGAAATATAAACACAAGAGTAAGTGCACCAATGCAAACTCAAACACACGATATGTTCACGGAGTTCGGTCAACCACTTGACTACGGCTCTGCTCCTCACATCGAGGAGATCTCCACTACCACAACCGGGTTTTCTACGCTAACCCGAACAACGTTTATACCTTACAATAACACACTCTTGCAATCATACTTTACACCTTCTTAAGTGTTGGTCTCTAGCCCGTGTCTCCCTCAAGTGTTAGGAATTACAACCTACCTCTAGGCTTTACCATCTACCTCACTTCTCTTGGGATGACCCCGTCTCTCACCACACACTCCTCTCGGTGTACAAATGTATTACAAAGTGATCTTTATAAATAGGCTCACAATACAACAAATAATTTGTTCTTTACAATAAACGAGAACTCAATTAAGCCCACACTCTATGTAACAAACCCATAACCCAAATATACTATGAATGTAAATACAATAAGCTCAAGAGTTGTGTGTGAACAAAGAGATATAAATCAAAACTAAACTCAATATAATTCTAGCTTAATAACAATGATAAACAAAAATATAAAAAAAAGCTAGAAATAGAGTTTAGAAAACTTCTCAAAGGATCAAGAGATAGAGGGAGAATAGTTGGATGCTCAAACACCAATAGATGATCTCCTCAAGCTCTTGTGAAATTGATTTCACAAAATTAAACTCTTAATTACTTAAAAGCTTCTTAAATTAACTTAAACCAAAACTTAAACTCTTGTTAAAACTTTCTTAAACTTATTTAAAACACTCTCATGGTGTATGAAATGATAAATGCAATGGGGGTATATATAGGGTAGAAGAAAACAACCCCAAAAAACCACTAAAAGATAAAATTCAGCAAGTAACCTTACTGTGCAACGGTAACATTGACGGTCGACCGTGGAGGTCGACCGTGAGAAAAAAAACTACAAAACTGCTCTCTGAACTGCAGACGATCGACCGTGGAGGTCGATCGCACTGTAGCACGATCGACTGTAGTGGTCGACTGTGAAAACTAACAGTTTCTGAAATCTAAAAATCTGGGTATCTAGATTTGTAAAATCAATTAAAAATAGTAAATCAACTCCAAAAATCATGAAATTTTGAAAAAGGTTTATAGACATATATATGAACATGTTAGAGAAAGAATTTCTGAAATATAACTTTTTATTTGTGAGAAATAATTATTTAAACATAGATATACAGTTTCTAAAAAACTGCTAAAAACTCGTTTTTGTAAATTTAATTGAAAACAACAAAACAACTCCAAAATTAGTAAAACTTAGGAAAATATTTGTATATATGAATATAAACATGTAAATGAAGAAAATTTTCAAATTGCATTTCCCAATTGTGAAAACTCATCTATTTTGCAAAAACATGCACGTACATGTGCACGAACATGAACTTATTTAAAACTTGATTTTGTAAATTCAATTAAATATGACAAATTAATTCCAAAATTGATAAAACCTTGGAAAACATTTATAAACATGAAATTGAACATGTTAGAAAAAGAATTTCTCAAATTGGATTTCCCATTTATGAAAACTCATGTATTTTGCAAAACTTATAAATACATGTGTACATAAACTTCTTGATTTTTGACTATTGAGTTAAAAAATGTTTTGAAACATTATAAAATGATTTTATAGACTTAATAAAATATGTATATAATGGTTGTTAAGTTCAAAAATAATAACTTAATATTTTATCAAAATTACTCAAAAACAAGAATTGTGTGTATGTGTGATATAGAGCCCAAAGTATTAACCCACAAGTATAAACCGTAAACTAATTTACCCAAGCTATCTTGATCTTCAATTAAGTTTGTCTTGGTAAACGTATGGATGAAGCTTGAACTTGGATCTTTAACTTTAGTTGTATTGGCTTCATATCGATATTCCGCCAACCTCCATTGGATACGATCGTTGATGTTCGATTCCATCCATCCTCCGACACGTTGTTTGTCTACAATAAATAAGAAAACATAAATACTAGACAAACAATATTAGTGGTAAATTGTTTGTTAAACATCATCAAAACAAATAGGCCAATAATAATACTTAGAATAATCAACTAGAGCTAATTCCTAGAAGAAGAATTTGATTATATATACTTATCTTGAGTGGTTTGATAGTTTATACTTATGAATTCTAGAAAAACTGTCTAGTTGCTTGTTATTTTTTATGAATGAGAATTTTGTACATACAAGGATACTTTTCTAAGCATAACTAGAGCCATGAAACCTCTATCTATTATACGCAAGAGTAATCACACAAGAAAATTATAATTTTTATGCTCCAAATGCATCATGACAGTGACTTTATTGGCAAGGAAGGCTTGCATGCTCACAAATCACATTCTGCCTTACATGCAAGCCTTGATCTTAAAAAATAACTCATGCATGTCTAAGAACTAGACTTATATTCATGTAACAACATATCTAAACACAAAATATATATAAAAGAAAATCTTTGGTTAAATTTGTTACCTAATAGAGAGGTTATATGCAAGAACTATTCCAAAACTTCTTTCTAGCTTCACAAGAGCCTTGATCTATCTTAGCTTGAGAGTTTAGAAGCTTGAGAGGTGCCTCCTAATTTAAACATATTAAGACAGGATTACACATTTTTTCTTTTAACTATGATTTTAATGAAGGGACTTAGTTTGTAACTGATGAGTGGTATCGAGACTGCGTTGAGAAAAAAAAAGTATGAGCACCAATTTGAATATTAAGTCCTGGGGTAGGGGCATGAACCAAAATGGTTTTTTACCCAAATATTTACCGTTTGGATATCATTGTGTTTTTCTTGTTTCCATGGTATTTTTACCAAAAACAAAACACCATGTGTTTCGAAACCATGGTTTTTTTGAGCTAAATCATCCTCAAACAAAAAACAAAACACTTATTTCAAAACACCTTTTAGGTGTTTTAAGTTTGGTCTTTTGGTTTTGAGTTTGATAATGTGTTAATATAATATCTAACATAATATATTAAATGTAATTAATATATAGTTATTATCAACATGCTTATTATAATATACTATACTATACTATATTAAATACCAATATTTAATATGTTAATAATGTATTATATAATAAATAAATAATAATAAAATATAAATAAACTAATAAAAAAGTTATTGGTAATAAATAATAATATAATAATGATATAATAATATACTATACAATGGTATAATTGCTATAATATTATTAAAATTTTAATAATTAAATTATAATAAATTAATAATTATAAAATATAATATAATAGTAACATATTTAATAATAACATAACAATATAATAATATTATTAAACTATAATATTTTCTATAATATTTAAATATTTATAAATAATGTAAACTAAATATTATAACATTTTATTTATAATATATTTTATTATAATTAATATATAAATATTAATAATATGTTTAATACTAGTGTTATAATGGGTCAAACTATTGTTGACAAAAAATACTTAACATGGTGTTTTAAAAACATTTTAAGGGAAAAACACAGCATCATGGTGTTTTTTTATAAAAACACAACAAGGAAAACACCATGGTATTCAAACGAAACCTAAGTGACTAAATTACTAATATCTATCAAACTCTTTCTATAAGGGGCTGTTTGGTTGGTTTCCTAAAAACCAAGAAAATGAATCTTTGTACTTTTCTCACTAAAATATTATTTTTATCCATTTTCAACCCTAAAAATCACCCCAAGAAAAGGAAATCTATACACTTTTATCAATAAAATATTATTTTTATCCACCAACTCATCACATCTCATCTCATTTCTTACTTTTAAAAATAAACCAAACACAAGAAATGAATCACATCATTCAACTCATCTCATATCATCTTTAAAAATTACCCACATCATCCAATTATATGGTGACAACTCATCTCATATTATTGACATTTCATTTCCATCCATTTCCTCAAAAAACCAAGGAAATTGATTTTCTTAAGTGTGAGTCACATCATCCAATAATATAATGACAACTCATCTGTCACATCATTCAACTCATCTCATCTCATCTTTAAAAATTACCCATATCATCCAATTATATGGTGACAACTCATCTCATATTATTAACATTTCATTTCCATCAATTTCCTCAAAAAACCAAGGAAATTGATTTTCTTAAGTGTGGGTCACATCATCCAATAATATAATGACAACTCATCTCATCTCATCTATTTTCTTATTTTTAAGAATGAACCAAACACAAGAAAAGAACCTATTATAGGAAATATGTTTCTTATAATACATTTTCTTATTTTTTTAACCAACCAAACAACATCAAAACAAGTTTTCTAAAAAAATCACTTACATCATCCAATAATATGGTGACAACTCATCTCATCTCATCTCATCTCCTATTCTTTGATTTCCTTCTTTTTTTAGCTAACCAAACAAGACTTTTTTTTAGGCAAACAAACAGCCCCTAAATATCAAAAAACAATTTTTAAAGAAAAAATTAACCGTAACTGCAAGAATAAAAGAGGCATTGAACAAAAAAAGCATAAAAAAGGTCTCGTTTTTAAACCTTATTATATAAACCTCAACGATTTGATCTCAAGCGGACGAAAGGGCAACAGCGATGTCGAAGAAAGGAGGAAGAAGAGGGCATCTCACAAAATCCCTTTATTCGCACAGCCAAAACATCCAAGAAACTTTCCAAGCAAGTCGAATTTTTCTATTAAATTCCTGACTTTTATTTTTAAATATCCTTCTATTTTCTCGTGATTTTGCATTTGGTTCTTTCAGATGCTCGATAAACCTGCTTCTTCTTCTCTGGACAAAGTGGATTGGCCTGACGTCGTCAAATTGGGGGATGAAGTTTCTAAGCAAGCAACCATTGGTAATAAATTTTATTATTTTATTAAACCCTTTTAATTTTAAGCTGTGCATAATGATTTTTTTTATTATTTTTGGTTTAACTGGTTTATGAAGTTATTTTGTTATTTTTACTGCTTTTATTCTTTGGAAGTTTACTCATCAGGGTGTTAAGTGAAGGGTTTACTAATACGAAGAATTAAGAGATAACTCCTCTATTTATAAAGAAAATAGTCAAATGTTTATTATTCCCAAGCACTAAAAATGATCACAGCTGTTCTTTAAACCTTTGCCAAACGGAGAAGGATATTCTTCTTTTTCTTTTAAAATTTTGGAATCCTGTAATAAGTGAAAATATTAATGTTGTGGACCTCGGTATTATTGGTGTTGTTCTATTCTTTGGCCTGTTTCATAGTTAATCTACTAAGCGATATACCTCCTTTTTTATCAGATTCTTGTATGGTTGTCTCGGTTTAGTGAGTTTGTATATGGATTCTAAAGAATTTCTTACTATTTCCCCTTCCAAAACATACCATCAAGTTATTAGATCCGATTACACTACTCTCATCTATTTGGTGTGTTGATATCTTCTTGTCACGTCAAATTATATTGTGACTGTGTATTGTTTAATGACTAGTTCCTTTATGGATTAGACACTGCTACTCATAGATATTTGATGCATGTGTAAATAGGTATGCTTCGTGGATTATGTTGCTAGAGAGGATCTTTGAGTTGGCACTTGCATGCTTGATATTAGCATAGTTGCCTCATATCTAGGAGACATTGACAAGTGGTTCAACTTGCATTATTCTTCACTGTG